GGACTATCAAACCTAATAACGTGGATTGTTTAAAATTTTTTTTCAAGGACTATCAGAGGATTTTTGAGATAGTTTTTCAAGGACTATCATAGCTATTAAGTTGGATTTTTTAAATATATTATTTCAAGGACTATTTTCCAAGAACCATCAGAAAAATTTTTAAAATATTTTTTCAAGGACTATCAGAGAAATTTTTGAGAATATTTATCAAGGACTATCAGCGGATTTATTTTTCCAAGGACTGTAAGAGCTACAAACGTGGATTTTTTTAAAGATATTTTTTCAATGACTATCAGAGAATTTTTGAAAATATTTATTCAAGGACTATAAGAGCTACAATCGAGGACGTTTTTTAAAGATATTTGTTCAAGGACTATCCGAGGATTTTTGAAAATATTTATCACAGACTATTTAAGGACTATCAGAGGATTTTTGAAGATATTTGTTCAAGGACAATCAGAGCTACAAACATGGATATTTTAAATATATTTTTTCACGGACTATCAGATTTAAAAAAGTGTTCTGGAAGATATTTTTTTAAGGACTCTAAGAGCTACAAACGTGAATTTTTTAAAGATGTTTTTTCAATTACTCTCAAAGGATTTTTGAAGATATTTTTCCAGGACCAACAGAGGATATCAGAGCTACAAACATGGATTCTTTAATGATATTTTTCCAAGGGCTATCAGAGGATTTTGTAAGATATTTTTTCAAGGATTATCAGAAGATTTTTTTGAGATATTTTTTAAGGACTCTCAGAGCTACAAACATGAATCTTTTATAAATATTTTTAAGGACTATCAAAGCTACTAACGTGGATTATTTAAAGATTTTTTTTCAAGGACTATCAGAGGATTTTTGAAGATAGTTTTTCAAGGACTATCATAGCTATTAACTTGGAATTTTTAATTATTTCTCAAGAACCATCAGAGAATTTTTGAAAATAATTTTTCAAGGTCTACCAGAGAAAATTTTGAAAATATTTATCAAGGACTATCAGTGGATTTTTGATGATGTTTTTCCCAGGACTATCAGAGCTACAAACGTGGATTTTTTTAAGATATTGTTTCAATGACTATCAGCGGATTTTTGTAGATATTTTTCCAAGGACTATCAGAGCTACAAACGTGGATTATTTAAATATATTTTTTCAATGACTATCAGCGGATTTTTGAAGATATTTTTCCGAGGACTATCAGAGCTACAAACGTGGATTTTTTAAAAATATTTTTTTCAATGACTATCAGAGGTTTTTTGAAAATATTTATTCAAGGACTATCAGAGCTACAATCGATAATTTTTTTAAAGATATTTGTTCAAGGACTGTCAGAGGATTTTTGAAGATATTTTTAAAGGACAATCAAAGCATTTTTAAAAGAATTTTTTAAGGACTATCAGCGGATTTTTGATGATTTTTTCAAGGCTTATCAAAGGATTTTTGAAGATATTTTTCCAAGGACTATCAGGGCTACAAACGCGGATTTTTTTTAAAAAATATTTTACAAGGACTATCAGATGATTTTTGAAGATATTTATTCATGGACAATCAGAGCTACAATCGAGGATTTTTTAAAGACATTTGTTCAAGGACTGTAAAAGGATTTTTGAAGATATTTCTTAAAGGACAATCAACGCATTTTTGAACATATTTTTCAAGGACTATCAGGTGATTTTTGAAGTTATTTTTCAAGAACCATCTGAGAATTTTTGAAAATATTTTTTTCAGGGACTATCAGCGGATTTTTGATTATGGTTTCAAGGCCTATCAAAGAATTCATAAATATATTTGTCCAAGGACTATAAGAGCTACAAACGTGGATTTGTTAAATATATTAGTTAATTTTTGAAAATATTTATTCATGGATTATCAGAGCTGCAATCGAGGATTTTTTTAAAGATATTTGTTCAAGGACTGTCAAATGATGTTTGAAGATATTTCTTAAAGGACAATCAAAACATTTTTTAACACATTTTTCAAGGACTATCAGTGGATTTTGGGTGAGTTAAGGCCTTTCAAAAGATTCTTGAAGATATTTTTCCAAGGACTATAAGAGCTACAAACGTGGATTTTTTGAAGATATTTGTAAGGACTTTCAGACGATTTTTGGAGATTTTTTTTTAAGGAAAATCAGAGGATTTTTGAAGATATATTTTCAAGGACTATGGAACCAACGAACTTAGATTTTTAAAGATATATTTTCAAGGACTATCAGGACAATAAACGTAGACTCATTAAAGATACTTTTCAGAGGATTTTTGGGAATTTTTTTCAAGGAATTTCGAAGAATTTTTGAAGATATTTTTTTCAAGACTACCAGAGCTATAAATATGGATTATTTTACGAGGATTTTTTCACAAGGACTATCGGAAGATTTTTGAATATATTTTTCAAGGACTGTCAGGGCAACAAACGTAGGTTTTTTAAAGATATTTTTTGAAGGACCACCAGAGCTACAAACTTGGATTATCAGAGCTACAAACGTGGATTTTTTTAAAAAAAAAAGTTTTCAAGGACTTTTAGGACAACAAACGTAGGTTTTTTAAAGATATTTTTTTGAAGGACCACCAGAGCTACAAAGGTGGATTTTTTAAATTTTTTTCCAAGACTATAAGAGTTACAAACGTGGATTTTTAAAAGTATTATTACAAGGACTATCAGAGCTACAATCGAGGATTTTTTAAAGATATTATTACAAGGACTATCAAAGGATGTTTGAAGATATTGCTTAAAGGACAATCAAAGCATTTTTAACACATTTTTCAAGGACTATCAGCGGATATTTGGTGCCTTAATATCAGAGGATTCTGGAAGATATTTTTCCAAGGACTATAAGAGCTACAAACGTGGATTTTTTGAAGATATTTGTAAGGACTTTCAGACGATTTTTGGAGATTTTTTTAAGGAAACTCAGAGGATTTTTGAAGATATATTTCAAGAACTATGGAACCAACGAACTTAGATTTTTTAAAGATATATTTTCAAGGACTATCAGGACAATAAACGTAGACTCATTAAAGATATTTTTCAGAGGATTTTTTGGAATTTTTTTCAAGAACTTTCGAAGGATTTTTTAAGATATTTTTTCAGGGACTACCAGACCTATGAACGTGGATTTTTTTAAACATATTTTTTCAGAGGATTTTTGGGGATTTTTTCAAGGACTTTCGAAGGATTTTTGAAGACATTTTTTCAAGGACTACCTGGGCTATAAACGCGAAAATATTTTGTTCACGAACTACAAGAGCTATAACCGTGGTCCGGATTTTTTTCAAGGACTATCAGAGGATTTTTTAAGATATGAAAATGTGCACCTTTGGTTGGCACCCAGGAACTCAAGCGCCTGCCATGGTGATGGTGTTGGCCGCCATAACATGGAACTTCCATGGTCGCTCTCCGCTTGTATTAATCGACCGTGGCATCGAAATAAATGCCGAATATTATGGCGAAAATATTCTGAAGAGTGTATTTAAGCCTTGGGCACGCAAAAATTTTGGCCGCAGACCTTGGACATTGCAACAGGACTCAGCACCATCGCACTCAGTACGCGCCATCTGGCGGTGTTTTGAAAATACATAGGACACATTTCATAAATACTACTAAACTTGGTATTGGGCGAAGAGATAGGACTGGGATCCTTAAATTTGATACTGAGGTCTCTGTTGGTATCTGAAATTGAGATATGCAGGTTGTTTTGGAAATGTTTACTATAATTGTACGAAATGTACTAATACCTTTTATAGTTCTAGTTTTCATCCTTTGGAGATTTATGAGATAAATTTCATTTGAGTGAGTGGAAGAACGAACGCAGTGATGGTTAGGGAGGGAAGGATGGTAACATGGATGGCAAACGCGAAATGACAATGAAAATGTAAATGGCTGCACCAAATTGGTTTAATTCATTTAATTTCCATGGCGGCTGTCATAGATTTATGGATAACGTCAGTGTCAGCCTAATTTATTTGGATGTATTTTGCGATATCAACTGCGGGTGGATGTATGAATATGAGAAGACAGAGAGAGCGCAGAATTTTCAATTTAAGGAAGACAACATAATCAAGGATATTTTCTAGAGAAACAAAAATCAATTATTAATTGTTTAAATATATTTGTTCAAGTACCGACAGAGATACAAAAGTGGAGTTTTTAAAGAGTTTTGTTCAAGGACTATCAGAGGATTTGTAAAGATAAATTTTCCAGGACTTTCGAAGATTTCTTTTTTAAGAACTAACCGAAGATTTTTTCAAGGACGAGTCCCAAGGACTGTCAGAGCTACAAGCGTGGATTTTTTAAAGATATTTTTTCAATGACTATCAGAGGATTTTTGAAAATATTTATTCAAGGACTATCTGAGCTACAATCGAGGTTTTTTTTAAATATTTGTTCAAGGACTATCAGAGGATTTTTGAAAATATTTATCAAAGACTGTTTTTAAGGACTATCAGAGGATTTGTGAAGATATTTGTTCAAGGACAATCAGAGCTACAAATGCCGAATATTATCGCGAAAATATTCTGGCCGCAGACCTTGGACATTACAACAGGACTCAGCACCATCGCACTCAGTACGCGCCATTTGGCGGTGGTTTGAAAATAAATAGGACACATTTCGTAAATGCTACTACATTTGGTATTGGGTGAAGAGATAGGACTGGGATCCTTAAATTTGATACTGAGGTCTCTGTTGGTATCTGAAATTGAGATATGCAGGTTGTTTTGGAAATGTTTACTATAATTGTACGAAATGTACTAATACCTTTTATAGTTCTAGTTTTCATGGACGTCAAGGATATTTTTCTCTCTGTACAAACAATGCGTGTTGCAAATGATGTGAATGCGTGTGCTATTGTACACATTGGCCTTGGGAAATTGTATAATTAAATCTGGCAAAATCTAATTTACACGCACACAAACAATAAAATATACCATAAACATACAAAAAAAATAGTTCGCCAAATCCCACAACAAAATTGTAAATAATGTGTTTTTTACTCTTTTTCCAGTTAAACAAATAAAAAGAAAAACATAAAAAAGCCTTTAAAAATCCTATCCGCCAGAGGAATAAACAAAAAAATTCTAAAAACCTATCCAAAACTGCCTTGATTTCCAAAGAAGTAAAAAAACAAACAAAACAAAATTCCAAACATCAATCAAACAAATCTCCTGCAAAAGAAAAAAACGGCTTTCAAACCCCTCTAAAGATGACTGCCCAAAAACCCCAGAGTATGGCATCGCATCCATCATTGCCGGCCCTCAACAAAAAGAAAAAGAAGAATAATCGCAGTTGCCAGCAATCATCCTGGTTCCAGCAATGGCTATCATCGCCTGCCTCGTTACCATCAGCGCTGAGACCCAACCTGTCAGCAATGCAGCAAAGTGTGCTGCTGATATTTTGTTGCATCTGTTTAATACAATTTGTCGGTAAGTAGCATAGATTCCGCTAATTACTTTTTTCTTTCCTGGTCAAATATGAGACACATGATTCTTTCGGGTATGAAAATGTGTTAATGTCACTGACACATGGGTCTCGAAAATGTGGAATGTTTGAAAATAATCCCAGGCAACACTTTGAATAAATGAAAGAAAAAAAAAACGTAAGAAAATAAAAGAAAACGGAACTGACATAATATTTAGATGTATTTTCATGGGACTTAGGCGACCATTCCTTTATGTCACATATTCTATATTTTTATTATTTACTCAGGCAACCAAACAAACAAGAAACCTCCTCCCTGTCTGGTGACCGGTTATTTTCACACATACCTATTATTTAATTGCATTATTGTACCCTACATACCGGCTTAGTAAAGCAATTGACAATATGATATTCCGAAAATATTTTAAGGGGCACTGTGGCTATCAGGTTGGATTTTAAGCTATACTGGACCAATGAGCGCGATTTTTAAAGATATTTTCTAATGTGGATTTTTAGGACGTTTTATTAGAGCAAAAATCGTTAATTCTTAAATGATATTATTGAGGGATAATTAGACAAATGATTGCGGATTTTTAAAGGATATTTTTGAAGAACTTCAGGGCAATAAATATGAATTTGAAGAAAAACAATTGTGGGGATTTTTTATCACAATTTTTAGGACCTTTTATGTACTGATCGTTTATTTTCTAAGGATGTTTCATTCTTCTAAGGATATTGTCCGTCAAGATTAGTAAAATAATCATAAACTCTGTAAATACATTTATAAAGGCATCGTTAGATAAAAATTGATTGAAGAACCCTTGGGACAATAGTCAAAGTTTATTCAGACATTTTCTCAGATATACTAGAGCAATAATCGTTCAAAGGATATTTATTGAGAAATCTTTCGAGCAATCTTCGTGGAATTTTAAAGATATTTTTGAGCGAACATCAGCTTACTAATTGTGGGTCTTTAAAGGATATTCCTGAGGGATCATAGGAAAATTAAATAAGCAACTTTTCAAGCTGCATTAGAGCATATACTGGGTGAGATAAAAAAAACTGCAACAAAGTCAAAAGCCATAATTTTATTTTTTATTTTTATTGAATGAAAGCAAAAAATGTCGGAAATAGCATCAGATTTTGGAATAAGTTTAGAATTGTTCGAATTGGTCAACTTTGGAACGAATTATGGCCTTCAAAAGGCCAACAAAACCGTAACACGCTGCCCGAATGTTGCGACCATCGGCTGTTATGGCGGACCATACCATCACTATGGCCGGCGCTTGAGTTCTGATGGCCATCCGAAGGTCTACATTTTCAGCTTACCACAAGTAAACACGATCATTTTGTTTTTTTTTACAAACTGCTGACCAACGAATGTTTTTTCATCACACCCTGTATTCTTAGGGTGAAATAATTTTAGATTTTGTAAGAATACTTTTGGAGGGATTATTGAATATGTTACTCATGGTGGATTTCGCGAGGAATATTTTTTGGGAATTTCATTGTGAATTTATAAGGATATGTTTAACGAGCAACTATAGCAATAAGGGTGGACTTTTTATGATCACCATGCATTTTTTAAGGATATTGTTTGAGACATTTTGACAAAGACCACTAAAGCAATAATTCAATTTTTTGATGGACATTTTCCGAGACGATTTTTTAAGGACATTTTTTTATTGAATTAAAATGGGAATTTAAGACCATCAGATCTATTATGTTGAATTTTTGAAGGATATTTTTGAAGTGATCATTAGATCAATCATCGTGGATTTTGAACGCACTAAGGAAAGATCGTGGATTTTATAAGGACATATTTTGATAGACCGTTACATTAATTATCGCGGATTTTTCAATGATATTTTTGAGGGATAACTGGAACAGTAACAGTGAATTTAAAAACAGATTTCATGGAGCGATACTTGGGATTTTTTAATCTGATTTTGGAGTCGACCCGTCCGTCTGTCTGACGGGTGCGCACAATAACTCTCGAAGGGAGCCTCCGATTTAATCGAAATATTATCCGGTTTAGCTCCAATTTTCCAAGTCCTAATATTTGTATCAGTGCTAGGTCCGGTGGGAAAATGGACAATATCGGTTCACTCCATCAAGTACCTCCCCCACAAAGGGTCAAAATTTTTTAATAATTATAACTCTTATAAAATGTAATATAGGATTCCAATTGTCTTCAAATTACCCAAATCACAATATTTTTATTAACCCAAGGTCAGGTTTGAATATGGAATATATCGCTTCACTTAATCAAGTACCTCCCCTACAAAAAGCCAACATTTTAAATATCCATGAAGCTCATATAAAACGCAAAATTAACACCCGATTCCATTCAGATTTGGCACATCTCAATATTTCCATCAACACAAGATTTGTTATAAAGGTGGTAGAGATCGGGTCATTTCTACTGGTATCTCCATCGCAAATGGTAATAATTTTCAATACTTCTATCTGTCATAATTTGCGAAACAAGTCAGCGATTATTTACAACAATATTTAACACAGGTATGGTCTTCTTTAGATTCAAAAACTTTCACAGGTCTTCAAAGGAAAGAAGATCCTACATATGTCATCCAACAATGGCGAAACTTCCGCATTTTTTTACTATAAAAGACATTGGTCTTCAGGACATTTCCAGAGGTATTTTAAAGATACAACTTTATCTACAGATCTTCCATAAAAAGATGGATTTGTCTTAGGTCTTCCAAATATAAAATACGACTTTCCACAGTCTTTCTACAAAAAATGCATTCCAATACTTTTTCTGTACACAGAGGGGTTTGTATCTGCATTCCCTTCCACAGGTCTTCTGTACATAGAAGATTTTGAAGAGAGAATAACTTTCGCATGTCTCCTAGCTATTAGCGCCCATCGAAGCGTCTTTTATCTTTAGACCTGTATTTGTTCTGGGGAAAAATCGTGGAAGGTCTTATATTCTCAGAATATCCATTGAGGGTCTTCTATATAGAAGATGTGTGGAAATTCATCTATTTAAAGACATGTGGAAAATAAAATATCTGTGTTGGGTTGTCCATCTTTCGAAGATATGTGGAAGATCTTTTTAAAAAAGGATATAAAAACGTCCCCTGTTTATTAAAATTCTTTGAAATGACTTATATTAATTGAAGATCGTTTTATCCACAGAGTACATGTCTTGAAAATATTTTGTCTTAAAAATATATGTGGAAGTTTTCCAATTTAAAGAAGCCCAGTTAGAGTATTTTCTATGTAAAGAAGACATGTGGCAGTGGTTTATTTACAGATGATATGTGGAGGGGATTTCTCTATATAAGAAGGTATATTGTCCATAGAAGAAGTCTTCCATCTATGGAGACTTCTGTAAGTCCTTTTTACAAGGTGGCGAAAAGTAATCCTCCTATCAGAAAATGCTATACATTTTACGACTGACCCCTAATGTCTTATTTATAGCCAAAAATATCGGAAGTTTACTTTTGCGCCACTTTGTACACATGTACTTGACAGACATTCCGACGTTTTTGGCTATAATTAAGACATAAGGGACCCATTGTAAAATTTCTAGCATTTTCCGATAGCAGAATTACTTTTGCGCCACCTGTATGAATGGAAGAACTTACAAAAAAAGTCCTTTGGAATGCCTTCGATGTTCATCAAGTCTTCTGCTTATAGAAGATCGATGGCAATTTTTTTCTTTATAGAGTGTCTGTGAAGTCTTTTATTTATGGATCTCCTCTACTTTTTGAGAGAGCGTTGTAAAAACTTTTATGGAACAAGGTGCCATTGGGAAGCATTTCTCTATGAAAGTCCTATGGAAAATTTTCTGTCTGTATTTCTAAAAACCCTAAAGAAAATACTTCATATATGGATGTTGAAGTTCTGGTAAAAGGTATTTGTCCTTTAAAAGATCGGCGAAAGTTCTTCCGCCTATATGAGACCTACAAAACCTCCTCTACGTCCACAAGACCTGTTGAAATTATTTTATTTGTTACATATTCAAGATTAGTTTATGTTCCTCTATCATACTGGAAAGCCTCTCACTTCCCTAAATATTAATATAGGGTATCACATGCTTGGGCGCCATTTCTCCTAATGGTTTCTGTAACATTCTTCGCCGTTTCTCGTACACCTCCGCAACAAAATCTGTCGTTGTCGTGTGTTGTAGAAAAATATTATTGTATGTTGTCGTGGTTCGCGGTTGTTGTAGGCTTTTCGCAGCAGCAGTAGCAATCCAATTTTTGTGTTGTAGTTTTCTGCGTTCTCTGCATGCTCGTTCACAGGTAATTATGACCTTGACAGCTTGCTTGGATGGTTGTTGGATGATTGCTGGGTTTGTTAAGTGTTCATTTTTCCATTGTGTAGTTCAGCTTTTTTTCATTTAATTTTTTTCTTCTCATAGTTTTATTTATTCAAGCATTTTCGCATTCTCGCATTTCACGTAAAGAAGGGCTAGCGATGCGGCTACACACGCACACACAAACACACCTATCAGCCCGTCATAATGTCAAGAATTTTAATAATGAGGAAAATATTTTGCTCTGTGTGAATACAGAAAATAAAAATCAAAATTAATAAACATTTGTTGGTGTTTGATTGTAGATGTAGATGGGGTTGAAAAGGGCGAGGATAAGTAAATGTTTGCAAATAATGACCTAGAAAAAGGTTAGATTCAAAAAACGTCTCGGAGTAACTGTGAGGAAATTCAATTTAAATTAAAAAACAATAAATGTCCTTTGAGACAACTTTTTCTTGATTTTAGTTTGAAGAAGTTAAAAAGTATCAGTTGCTTTTGCCGACAGATGTATACCCTTGTTCTATTATTTAAATAAATTTTAACTCATAATCATAATATAAGTTATTAAAGTTACGTTCCTCTCTTTTATGAAAGACCTTCTGGTCTTCTATGAGACGACTTCCTTCTGGTCTTCTATGAAAATACCTACTTCTGGTCTTCTATTAGAAGACCTCCTTCTGGCCCTCTACGATTTCTCCTTCTGGTCCTCTATGAGAA